AGCCTCTACTGCTGTATGTGTTCCTCACGTCTTATAAAGAATAAAATATTATTTTAATTAATGTTTATAGCTATGAAACTCCTATCCATTCCAGGTTTAATTAAAGGCCTGAGTTGAGTTCTCGCACATTACATCATGGAGCAATTTGTACCAATGTACTTGTACTCTACTTTCCAACTCTACTGTTTTTTAATTCTACTACTCTACTTTTCTAAACTCTACTATTCTACTACTCTACTTTTCTAAACCCTACTATTCTACTACTCTGCGTGTGTATTGCGGCTTCTTTTCTTATTTTTAATGTCATTATGTCTTGTCGAGTTTCGTTTCGTATCAGATTGTTCTTTTTGTCTGAGATTATCGAATTTATTCAATATCGTAATGCTTTAGACTTGGTCTTCTCATAGTCTAAGCTTATGGAGTATCTTAAGGCTTTGGTGTAACGCCCAGGGGGTAACTACTTCTGGAAACGCTGCACATTCTTTGACTCTTAAGGCTCCATTCTACACATTAATGATTTTCTTTAATATCTGCCTTCGAGTGTATCCCATAATAAAGCTTAATCTGAATGCCACTTAGTTGATGCTAGCCTACCACAAGGCTCCTTGTTTATCGTCCACTTCGACGACCTTCTGGGCCTCATACCCGCAGCTGATGGCTGCGAATGTGAGGTTCAACCTTTATATCCCCAATAGAAGGAAAACCCAATGCGATGAGGTTTACTCATCAATATTACGATATTATAACAAACCTGAGGTATTACAACTAGCAGTAATATCAGCCTGAGGCAGGTGATGACTGGTTTCAGGAGATACTAATAAAACGTGCGATGATGGATACTATAAGCAGGCGATGAGTCACAATAACGTGGCTGAAGTATGTTGACCAGACCACACACTAGAAATTGAAGGGACGACGACGTTTGAAGGGACGTCCCTACCTCCCCATCACAATCGACTTGAGAATGGTCCAGGACGGACCGAAACGTCGTCGTCCCTTCAATTTCTAGTGTGTGGTCTGGTCAACATGGATACTATAAGTCTCTAGAGAAGCATAAAGTGAAACCTGAGTAAGCTTAAAGATTAAGCTGCAAGACTGCTTAGAGGAAGAGGGGTGGAACATTTTGAGGAAAGGCTTCGATATGACGAAACCCTGGGAAAGAAAAAGGAGCAAGGAGACAAAACCGAAGCGAACCAGAAGCTCAGAGAGCTTAGCAACAACACAACGAGGACAAGGTCGGCAACAGTAGACACAGTTGAGTCGTTTTTAGATGTACCGAAACCCTTACGGCGGACTCAATTCGCAGTGTCAAGAGTAGATACAACAAGAGAAATGAGCAGCGACAGTGATCGCATCAATCGACGGTGGACCAGAGATGGGACCTAGGAGCTGAGGCTGGACCCACGGTTACATCAAAGAGAGCACACACACACACACACACACACACACACACACACACACACACACACACACACACACACACACACACACACACAGTAACCCAAGTAAGAGGTGCAGCTGGCCGGGCCGGCAGATGGTCCCAACGAGGCATCCTCTGGCCACCAACACGGCCAAACACAACTCCTCTTGGTCATTGTTTTTAACAATTTCTTCCCGGTTAACCGAGTGCTAGAAATGTCCGTATAAGGAGACGTTAGTAGAAATTAAGAAACTAGAATCATGAAATATTTATATTTTAATGATTATTATAAATATTAAGTTACTGATTTTATCTAAAATTGTATTATAATAATATATCGAATCTAAATAAATATTCTGATATTTTTCATTTTCGTATGAAATTCTAAAACTATTTTTATCACTTAATAACATCCGATATGAGCGAAAGCGCTTATAGCGATTATTCAGAAATTTCAATCGCTAGTAATTCCATTCTAATTACCGATGCCCGATCATCATCAGTAAAGTACATAAGGAACGTCATGTTCTGAGACCTGGAGAACAGCGCAGACCTCAACAGAGGCGAAGGTGAGGGTTAAGCGTATGTGGGATATGTTATTCCATCCAGGTATCGACCATTTAGTCGCAAACAGCGCGTATGAGTGGTTTCCAAGCCTGAGGTTTGCATAGCGAGTCTTACCTTACCTCTGCTCCAACCCCCCTCTGCTCTTTTGCTTCAGCTGCGATCCTAGACTTTTGCCTCAACTGTGATCCTAGCCTTTTACCTCAACTGCGATCCTAGCCTTTTGCCTCAACTGTGATCCTAGCCTTTTGCCTCAACTGCGATCCTAGTCTTTTGCCTCAACTGTGATCCTAGCCTTTTACCTCAACTGCGATCCTAGCCTTTTGTCTCAACTGTGATCCTAGCCTTTTGCCTCAACTGTGATCCTAGCCTTTTGCCTCAACTGTGATCCTAGCCTTTTGCCTCAACTGCGATCCTAGTCTTTTGCCTCAACTGTGATCCTAGCCTTTCGGCTGGGATCGTCTGTCCCTCTGATGTATATTATACAACATATAATTAAACTAAAATACATATTAGACACTAACAATTATTCTCTCAAGGAGGATATTTGATATATTCATACTTGTGTGAGTCCCTGTACTCTACGTCACGCATACTTCCATACATATCCATGTTTTCGATCATAGCCATTCAAAAATGTTCAGTCTCATCAGTATATTAATAGTGTAAATATTTCTTTCCCCTTCTCTTGTTTCCATCTTCTAAAGTCCTCCCCTTCTCTATCTCATCTCTCTAAAGACCTCCCATTTCTCCCTCTCCCCATCTTAACCCTCCCTTATCTGTCTCTCCCTCTCGACTTCTCTGTCTCGCTTCCCCCTATTTTCTATCTCCCACCCCTATTAACAGCTTCTATAAACTAGTTGTTAGATAAATTAATAAACATAATGTTGCAGCCACTCGCAAACATCGATGCAACTAAGAACGTTGTTCAAGCATCACCTTAACGACGTTCAAGCATCTCTTTCGCATATTTCCATCAATTTCTTTCAATCTAATTCTAGCCGAGTATAAGTTGCCCTAAAGCACAAGTTCCTCCATTCATCAACTCACCAACATGCATATCGAGCAACTTCTGAGCCATACCTTACCTTGAGGTTACCTTGAGGTGCTTCCGGGACTTAGTGTCCCCGCGGCCCGGTCGTCGACCAGGCCTCCTGGTTGCTGGACTGATCAACCAGGCTGTTTAGACGCGGCTGCTCGCAGCCTGACGTATGAGTCACAGCCTCATACGTCAGGCATAACCAACTTCAATAGGCGGTTGTTGTTGTTGAAGTGAAAACAGAAAAAATAAGGGTTTCACTCTCTCTTTAAGACTAAATGTCGCGTGAAGTTTCAGCCTTAAGAGCACTCAAGGGTGAACCGGACTGGTTCAGTGACCCATGAAATGGTCGTTGTCCACCACCCTCCCTTAGTGTGTGTGTCCTGCCCTGCTTTTACCTTCCCCTTGTGTTGGAAGGCGGGGTCTGGGTCAGCAGCTGTCTGTCAGACCTCTGTCACCTGTCACCCGTCAGCTCCCGACTGTCTCTAAGCTGATTTAGTCATTTGGGTGTTAGTGTAGTGTGTGGTCGTTTGCCAGTAAATAGTGCGGGTTACCTGTGAAAAAGGTGGTTGGTTTGACAGCACGTTGGGCCGTTTAACCTGTGGGTGGGAACGTTGAATAATAAAGTTAGAAAGATAGACGAAAAAGGCCTTGTAGAAATTCCTCTTCTCTTATGTTCTTCTGTTCTTATATTTCTTTTATGTATGTCTTTGAGTGGTTGTTTTCTTCTCCGTTTGATGTAGTTTACGCGATGTAACAACTGCTGCAGATTTCTACAGAAGATTTTTTGATTAGTAAATGCTGTATATGAAATTATACGTCAGTTTAAAAGAATTTAATTTATTAATGTAAATTATATACTATATGTCATGTATTGCAACTAAGAAAATATAATTCTTTTTTTCATTGACCGCAAAGAAAAGATGTGTAACTAGGCAACAATTAACCCACGGACGTTAATACACTTGCGCACAAAAACAACTAGAGGAACAATTTTCTAAACGTAAACAAACTTTGCGCTCCGCCACGGACCAATCAGGACGCGCCACCCACAACGCGCCAAAACTCTTTCGCGCCCAATTTGCCTCTTGAGTTGTTAAGCCGCGCTAATCCACTCCCATCCGCGCACTTAAGCCGGATTACTGCCACTCATCTCCTTGACTAGGCGTGAGCGGGACCTCCTCATATTGGTTACACTCGTGTGGCCTGTTTGCTTTAGTAAGTGATATCGAGAAGCTGGGACCAGCCAGGTTATTCTCCCCCGAGGATTACCACGGCTAAATATACACACACACAGCCTGGAATCCACCAGACCTCCCGGGGTCCTCCTATTCTTAGGGTGTAGAGGTGATGGGTCCAGCCTGGCGCGTCTCGCTGATAGCGCTTAATTGTTACGGCTGAATAAATTTTTTTCATACTGTGGCTAAACGCACATTTGTAAATGTTCAAAGCTGTTCTTAAAAGTTTACGCATTTAAAAAAAGTGATTTTACGCTGCTTTTCTGGGGATGGGATGTACACAAATTTAATTAGGTTAGGTTAGATTAGGTTTGGCTAGGTAAAGTTAGGTTAGATTTGGTTTGGCTTGGCAAGTTAGGATTAGGTTTGGTTAAGTAAGATTAGGTTAATTAACGTTCGCCTGGACACGTAATGGTTAGGTTAATTGAGATTTGCGTAAATAAAGGTTAGGTTAGATTCAGTTTAGCTTCTTTCTTCTTTTTAATGCGCTTCTTGACACTGCCACGGGCTGCTTTCTGGTGGTGGAGGCCTGGTTGAGGACCGGGCCGCGGGGACACTTAGCCCCGAAATCATCTCAAGATAACCTCCCATCCTGGAGTGTCACTTTCCAGCCATCCGTCTACATTTCCAACGAGGGTAGAACTAGCCTAAGCTAATCTATCCTTTTGAGATGTACTTCCTCTTCTCAAAAATCTTACTTGAACTCCTCTCCGCTCCTCATAAGTCTTTATTGACTTCATCAAGATTCTCGTTTTCCTTTCACCTCTTCTTCTTCATCTCCTTTTCCCTTCTCACCTCGCTTCTTCTTAATCCCTCCTCCCCCACCTCCTTCCTCACACTTCCCTCCTCCTCTCCGACCTCTCCCCAGCGCCACAATGGATCGTGATGGACAGGCGGGCGCGGACTGTAGGAGCTGCAAGTAAATTGATCTCAATCATATCATTTTCCGCCTTGTTATGTGTCAATAATTAATGAAAGAAGTCGCTTTGTGCCGCAGGGATGGAATGAGGGTTTGGGGATGGGGAAAGGACGAGGTTAAGTAGGAGAATTGGGAGGGGAAGTGGAGGGTGAGTGGTTTACGGGTTAAAGAGGATGAAAGAGAGAGTCGTATGGAAAAAAGGAAAGAGAGAGAGAGAGAGAGAGAGAGAGAGAGAGAGAGAGAGAGAGGGAGCAGTATGTAAATACATTGGAGAGAGGAAAAGCAAATTAACAGAGCGTAGAGAGAGAGAGATACACGTCATAAAAATATGGAAAACGTTACAGAAAAAAAGAGACTCAAATATGGAGACAAATCTGAAAAAATGGCCCATTCAATCACACACAAACACAAGCAAGGACATACATAGTTGATAATACTCACTTAGTTGTAAATACATAAGTATATACAATTAGGACAGCATGCGGGACTCGTAATCCTGTGGTTCGGGTTCGATTCCCGGCGCCGGCAGAGACAAATGGGCAGAGAGCAGTAAATAGGTACCTGGTAGTTAGACAGCTTTTACGGGCTGCTTCCTGGAGTTTATGCTAGAGAGAAATATGTAGTAATATAATAGAGGAAAAATAGATTAGTTAGACGGAATCCTAGAGCTAAATAGCTCGATTCTGGAGACACAAATAGTAAATACACACACACCTGTCCACCAGTCAAATGTTGAGAGGCGGAGCCCAAGAGCTGAATCCTAATCCCCCCTCCGTGGGCACAACTAAGTGAGCATAAATACACTCAAGAAAAAAAAACATTACGAGGGGCGAGACTGTCACTTGACCCTCTGAGCATGAAAAATTGGCTTTGCATAGTGCTGCGTCTCCCTGGTCCCGTCTAGTGTATTAAAATGCTATTCATTTGTGTCGATGTGGCTGGTAAAGGGGGTGATGGGGATAGTTGATGGGGTGGAGGGGTTATAGGTGAGGTGAGGGGGGATGGCAGATGGGGTGGGGGGTGGGGGAAAGATGTGATTGGTAAGGTGGGAGGGGGAGGCAGTCGCTGGGAAAATGAAGAGAATTTTTTGTTGGTTGTCGAACTAAGTAATATCTCTTTATTGAGTTGGTCCGCTCTTTATTAAAAAATAATTTTCTTCTCAGCAAGTTTAACGTGTGTGTGTGTGTGTGTGTGTGTGTGTGTGTGTGTGTGTGTGTGTGTGTGTGTGTGTGTGTGTGTGTGTGTGTGTGTGTGTGTGTGTGTGTGCGCGTGTGTTGGAGGGTGAGTATTGTGCGCGCGCTCGTGCATAAGTTAGCATCCTTACCTGAATGTGTGTTGATGAGATATATATATTGCAGAACTCGGCAATACGAGAGTACGCGTGCACTCTATCCACTCTGCCTGCGACTCGTCTATAGGAATTGCAAGTTGAAAGTCCACTCAAATGATGGTCTTCATGTGACAATTGCGTATATGGTCTTGTCTTCAGCAACCCCCCCCCCCCACACACACAATCGACTTGAGAATGCTCCAGGATGGACTGAAACGTCGTCGTCCCTTTACTTTCTAGTGTGTGGTTTGTTCAACATATTTCATCCACATTATTGTGACTCTTCGTCTGCATTACCCATAGATTTGCAAGCTTGATTTGTGCCGACGATGTGATTCAGTCTAAGTGTGTCTCCGGACACAAACCATGAACTGTGTCATTTCAAATACTTCTCTTTGAATCTGTGAGTTGCGTTTCTCCCTCATATATTACAGCATGCTCACACTTATCGCGATGCTCACCAGCATCAAATGATGAGCTGCGATAATTGTGATTATGTTAAAAAAAATGCATATAATGGAGTGAGTGAGTGAGTGCTTCTGAGACATGTTGGTTTCAATCTGAGATGAATCAGCGCAGGAGGAGCTCCGTCCATTCCTTCCCCCCGTCCCATCCCAAATCCTTATTCTGATCCCTTCCTAGTGCAATATAGTCGTAATGGCTTGGCACTTTCTCCTGATAGATCCCATCCCTCCCCTTCCGTCAAGGTGGTGTCAACGCAAGAGGAGCACCATCAGGGTGGTGTCAACGCAAGAGGAGCATCATCAGGGTGGTGTCAACGCAAGAGGAGCATCATCAGGGTGGTGTCAACGCAAGAGGAGCATCATCAGGGTGGTGTCAACGCAAGAGGAGCATCATCAGGGTGGTGTCAACGCAAGAGGAGCATCATCAGGGTGGTGTCAACGCAAAAACAATCAACGGCAGGGCACAGTGGCTCGCGCAACGCTAGATGGGGAGTGGGCCGGCACCATTGTCCTAGTTCTTACGGCAAAGGGGACATTTTCTCTCACTCCTTCATATTAAGCTTGAAAACAAGTAGAAAAACAAGTATGAATGTTAAGGTTTTAATGCATGAAGCATGTGAGCGTGAGCGTGAGCACGAGCATAAGTGTGAGCGTGCTTGTGCAAGAGTCTGCAACTCTCACAGGTTAGACGACAGAAGGGCGTCATCTTCACTAACAAAGACGCCCATGAGAAACAACCGCGTCGAGTAACAGTAATTACCCCCGCCACGGCCGCCTTCCTCCTGCTTTGAAGCTGCCGGCTTGGTTGCTTGGCTGGGGCCCGAGCCCGCGCGTGTTCTCCTCCTGTTCTCCTCCTCGTCGACGTTCTTGAGTGCACAGCCGGCGTCGGATCCGCAAATAAACACACAAACATCATCACCTAAATACGCAAATATCTTGCGTAACGCATTGTTTACAACACGAATATGCCACTACAAATAGGCATCACTCCCCCACTGTATCAAGATGGAAAGCCTAAAATAAGCACACAAGAGTTAGATGAAATGCAGAAAGGCTGTTTAAGAGTGACAAAACGTTAAAAGTGAACCCAAGCTGATGCAGTCACAAAGACGAAATCTATAGTTAAAGACCATGTGATTAAGCAAAGAAGTGAAGGTGAATGCCGTACAGAAAAGGACGTGTGTGTGTGTGTGTGAAATTCAACATTATGTTCCAAGAGATCTATAAAGTAGAACCAAAGTTAAGATCGAGTATTGTAGTAGACGGACGATCAGATACAACATTATATATTACACGCAAAATCAATTATGTTCTTATGGCATATTTGTCAGGGATTAAGAACTACACTCTTTTCATTTCAAATATCACTCTTATCTTAGTATGCACTTCGTGCAATGGTCGCCACCTCTGTGGCCTCGTGATTCGACAAAGATTCCGAACGTTAATTACAACTGGGTAGGCTCAAGCAGGCAAGTTGACGGGGCATAGAGAGCCAGACCTCACTTCAGTGCAGTCACTAATAATGTTGCTGTTGATGTTTTTGATTCAGGAACTGGGAACAAAAAGTTCCAAAGTAGCACGGGCTATGGTGAGCCCGTAGTGGACTTACCTGGCACAGGAGCGGGACTGTAACTGTGCTACTAATAATTGTTGTTGTTTTAGAGTTAGCTACTCAGTACGAAATGGTCCATGTAGCACGGGGCTATAGTGAGCAAGTAAGTCACTAATAAGTAAACACCACTCTATCCCACCACCACCAAAACTCCATCCCCCCACCTCGCCACTGCCTCCTCCCCAACCCCCACAACCCCCACCACCCCCACCAGACGGGGAGACCCCCTGCTGCCTGAGATAAGGTCAGCGTGGCGTCATGGCCACAATTAGAGTGGAGTATTTAAATGTGCGATCTTCAGCATGCCAGGGGAAAAAAAATTGTTTGCGTCTTCAGTTTGATAATATACATATTTCTTCCCCTCTCAACTTATTAGTATGTGATGTGTCTGCCCCAGGCTGTGTACACCCCTCCTGGGGTCTCTGCCCCTCCCCTAGGCTGTGTGCACCCCTCCTGGGGTCTCTGCCCCCCCCCCCCTAGGCTGTGTGCACCCCTCCGTCCCCCCGACTGTGTGTGTCGCCTGTAAGGCAGGTTTTATAGCTCTCCTTCCTCATCCAGAGATGGTTATCGAAGTAGTTTGCTGTGGAAGGCTTGTTTAGAGGAAAGTTGAATATTCTCAGAGAATATAATTCGAATCCCACACCCAGCCTACGACCGTGAGCACACAGTTTGATCCTCCCCCACCCACCCCACCAGAGTGGGCTCACAGCTCCTCTCCACCCACCCCACCACGGTGGGCTCACAGCTCCCACCCACCCACCCCACCAGAGTGGGCTCACAGCTCCTCCCCACCCACCCCACCACGGTGGGCTCACAGCTCCCACCCACCCACCCCACCAGAGTGGGCTCACAGCTCCTCCCCACCCACCCCACCACGGTGGGCTCACAGCTCCCACCCACCCACCCCACCAGAGTGGGCTCACAGCTCCCACCCACCCACCCCACCACGGTGGGCTCACAGCTCCTCCCCACCCACCCACCCCACCACAGTGGGCGCGCATCTCGTCACCGGAGCAACAGGTCGTGGGTTCCATCTCGAGTATCGCTGGCCAATAATTGCATGTTCTCCCGGGGGCAACACGGCATTTGACACTCTCTCCTTTTGTTAGTCGTTTGAGCGCGGCCGCCATCCATCACCCACTAGTGCCACACCCAGAAGAGAATTGCAAACGTCGGTGATTTTTATTTTTTTTGTATCGGTTGGGGGGGGGGGATGGTTGGGGGAGAGCAACATAAAAGGCTGGGGCACTGGAGGAGGGGGGTAGGGAGGGAAAAGGGGGTGGGATAGGGGGGGAAAGGGGGAGGGGGAAGGTGGGGAGAAGGAGGGATTTAATTTGTGGCATCAATCGACTGGGCATATCCATCACCAGGGTGAGATCCTCTTATGGAAGCGATCTGGTCGCTTTCCAGTGTGTTTTGAAAGGGATGACACCGCTGAGAGAGGATGGGTGGACTGTCTCACCTAAACCAGCGCACACACACACACACACACACACACACACACACACACACACACACACACACACACACACACACACACACACACACACACACACACACACGAGGTCTCACTACATCGTCCGTATGCTGTGATGGATGGTGGGTAAAATTGACGTATGATTGATCACTGCTACTCACTACCGTCTCGCCCACTCTAAACTGGACCTTAAACACGCCTTGTCTTGGGCTTAAACTATTTTACTCATAGACCCAAGTGTTTATGCCGTTTTAACACTTATTAGAGGAGCGAGGTTGCCACTGTTAGGAGATAAATTGATTGGCTCCTGCAGCGATTGAGTATGCAACTGCGAGGAAGCCATCACGAGGGCAGATGGAGTGGGAGGCTTTGGAGACGCTGCGTCGATGATCCTCTGATAACTGGTCAGGGAGGGGGCAGGTGACCGAGGCGATGGTTGGTGACATGGAGTAGGTGGGAGATGGTGGTTGTGGTGTTAGTGGGATGCTGGTGGTTTGGCGGGGGTGAGAGTTGTGGTAGTGTTAGCTGTATGCTCCTGATGGCTAGGTGGGGGGTGGTGGTGGTTGTGGTGACAACCACGACTTTCAAACCAACAAACAAGATAATTAAATGTTTGTTGTAATGTGTAGCGTAGTGGGGATTGTGTACTGGTGGAGCACTAACTGAACTGGTGGATGTATTCAGCAAGTGTGAGCAGTTATTATCAGTTTACTGAGGGCCAGGTCACACCCCAGGACCAGGCCACACCCCAGGGCCAGGCCACACCCCAGGGCCAGGCCACACCCCAGGGCCAGGCCACACCCCAGGGCCAGGCCACACCCCAGGGCCAGGCCACACCACCTCAGCCCACCCGTCGAGTTCCACCGTTATCTCTGGACGAACATGATACGCCTATCATCCCGGTTTAGTCATATTTTTAACTGTTGCTTGGCTCGAGTTACTAATGAATGTTGTAGTGGTTGTGATGGTGGTTGTGGTGCTGATTGTGATGCTGATTGTGGGCGTGATTGTGGTGGTCGTGGTGTTGGCTGTGGTGCTGATTGTGGTGGTGGTTGTGGTGGTAGTAACAGCAGGACATACACCAGTTGGAATAGTAGTAGTTATATTTGTGTTAGAAAACCATCAAACCATCAACACACACACACACACACACACACACACACACACACACACACACACACACACACACACACACACACACACACACACACACACACACACACACACACACACACACACACACACATAGTATATATAGCTACATATATATAAGCTTGATACTCCCCTTCCATTCTACCCCATGCACCCCTCTCTTGGATCTCATATACCCCTTATCCTCGTCTTTCTCTGCCATACACCAGTGACTCCTACAGCCTCCATCTCATGTTGAAGCCGTCCCAGCTCACGGTGTGAGATCCATCACTCTTATAGTCAATATTACTACAACGTGCGACAGGCAACTCCAGCCTATTACTACGCCACTCTATAACTATGTCATTCTTCACCAATATTTTTGTATAAAAACCTCATTCCACTGCAATATCTATACGAAACATTATTCCACTCCAATATCTATATGATGCATTATCAATCTGCAGCAATATCTACATGAAATATCATCATTCTGCAGCCATAACAGTATACAACATCCTTCTACAACAATATGATTTTACGACATCATTCTACATTGATACACATCTGCAACGGTTTTATCCTGCGACAGCAATATTCCACAACAATATCACTCTTCAACATCAATCTGCAATTTCTTTCTACACAGAAAGAAATTGCAGAAACACAAAGTTCTACACAGACTTTGGACCTACAATTACGTTCATTTAATGAATAAATGTTCTATAATGCCTGTATAATGAATTAATATTTCACAAACTGCTTGTATAAACTGCATTCCATGTATTAATAATTGCATTACTGTCTGCTGAACACGACTGACACGTGACATACTCTGACTGACGTGACATATAAATGTCTGACTGACATTTATATAACAATGTCTATCTGTATGTATTTGTTCAAGGGTTGCGTCCAGACGTTTGGGGCTAGTCTCACGAAACTTTACAAGGTAAACATTGGGAAACACAGGATAAAACACACACACACACACACACATATATATTTATTTATTTATTATTATTAAATGTTTAGAAAACTTAAGAAAATGAGAAGAATCGGGTTAAAATCATTAATCTCACCCTTTCTCTCACAATAATATGTCTAAAAGAAAGACCACTCCCTGAATATACTAATATTAGATATATATATATATTTATACGTAATAAGTTAGCTTAGTTTTATATTCATGTGTGATTCATTTCATTACTGTATTATCATTAGGTTAGCGGGGACAAATTTCGACTGTTCACTTGTTTTAAGGCCATGTTCCATACATGTATCCAATGTCGATATATGCAGGCCTCCACCTTAACAGCGATAACTCGACAAACGAAGAAAAGCGACTACGACATGTCACGTTCAGCTCACGAGCATAAACACACAATTGGACCTGAGTTTATCGTGAAAAACACCACAACTGGACCTGAGTTTATCGTCTGTCGGCATCAGGTTATCCATCACCCTCAACATCCTCCCTCCACTACGGCCAAATTAACAGGTTACCCAAGTTACTAGGGGGAAGTAGCCCGTAATTATCAAGTGGTATGGGAACCAAGGGGGTGCTACAGGGGATGGGATGGGAACGGGACAGGGCAAGAGGGAGAGGGGAGAGTCTGCAAGACCTGGAGGGAGATGGATCAGACCCTAGGGAGAGAACCTCTAAATTGCAACTTTCCCGCCCTCTTAGTGGGGTATCAGCCGTGGGGAATTTTGTCCCAAATGTTGGTCTTTGTGAAGATGAATTGTGGTGTTTGTACTGGGTTGGTGTTAAGGTTATGTTGGTTTAAGGTGCTTGGTGTAGGCGGTTTGATGGTGTCATTGTGGTTTTGTGTAGGTATTGTGTGTGTGTGCTTTTTAGGTCGTAAGAAGAAGGGAGTGGGGAAGACGTATGGGCTCCTCTCCTCAAAATAGGATTAAGTCATACATGTTACAATCGCAAGACTTTTTTTGAAAAGTAGACGTGATGTCTATATTCGTCTCCTTTTACAATTCAGTCCTGCGATACGATGGTAAATGCTATAGACGTTATGTAGCGTGATATGCGTGCTGGATATATCTGATGGCATAGATGTTAAGAGCAAGATACTTACTGGATATATTTGATGGCAAAGATGTTAAGAGCAACATACTTCCTGGATATATTTGCTGGTACAGATATTGTATAGAACAACTTTTTTGCTGGATATATTTGTTTTGTTTATGTTTTATATATTTTTACAGGGTTTAATATTAACACCTCTAGCCTTTCCATATTATCTTATCTCATTTCATAAACAAATTCGAATTCGACTAAAGTAATGAATATTGATTTTTTTTAAAGCACTGAAATGACACGAATATAGAAAACCTCAATGCAGAAAGCAATATCTATGAAGTATTATATAACTGTTTCTTCTGCATGATTTCCCTAGATAGGACAGTATACTCATACACTCCCTGATTTTCTTAATCCTCTAAGAGATTGAGATATCAGAGCGATAATAGCGATAACGCTGCTCTGCTTCGTCTGATGTTTTGAATGATATTTATCAACAAATTATTCTGCTGGCGACAAGCTCCAACAAAAATAAACTTAAGTGTATTATCTCAGTTAAAACATGGTAAGAAACGCAGGGTGGAGGCGGTCCCTGCTTCTCTCTTCCATCCCCTCACGTAGCAAATTACCAGGCTCGTGTTCCGTGTTCTTGTTTTCTCTACATTACCTCTTGCTGCAAACGCTGTGCTGTACACGTTGCATAAATTGCACACGTTGCACAAACTATATGAACTGCTCACGTTTCACAGGCTGCAAACGCTCCACAGGCAGCTTACAGGGTCATGATGAACATTAGAAATATACAGGCTCACGATATAATATTTAATCAAATACTTTCAGCGATATTCAATACCACATGTGAACAAGAACGACTTCTTCCTAAAAGCACTAATTTCTACAAATTTAAACGTGGTAATTTTTGGGGAGCGTGCGCCGGGTCATATCTTAATACACAGCATAAATGCACAATGTTGACAGCTAGAAGAATCACATTTTGATGACCTTAATTACGGCGTATCGTATTTACGTTGGCTGGGGGGAGGGCGGGCTTGGAGGCGCGGCAGAGACCTCGCCGGCCGCCTTCCCCTGTAATATCTATCATCCTCTACATCACAAATCTTATAATCACGACCACCAAACTGTTAAACGCTATTAATGAGAATGTGGCGTGACACTTGCCTTACGTTTCCGCTGGGTTCCAAGTAATGCATTTAATTGCTCCAGCATGCGAGTCTTCTTTGTCGGTCGGTCCACCTCTCGGAGGCTGGTTGTTGGTGAAGGGCTTCACGGCCGCGCTTTGGCGCCTATATTCCTTGTAAATGGGGGAAGAATTGACGTGTTGGAGCGCCATATGTTTCAATATTATGCTGGGCATTTGTGAAGGAAATACCAAAAATGACTAGAAACCAGAGTGACAGAGTCTGTTAGCGTGTCTGCGAGTGGTTACAATCTGAACGCTATTTTATTTGTGAAGTTACTGATGCGTGAGATGACTTGTAAAATGAAATTAAATTTATGTTCAGAGCTATTTATATTTGTCTGTAGAACTTTATTGTAGTTCTTAAGTATATGCATGTACATATATATAATATATACTGTATATATATATATATATATATATATATATATATATATATATATATATATATATATATATATATATATATATATATATATATATATATATATATATATATATATAGAGTATTGTGTGTGTGTGTAAATAGCTGGCAATCCCACACAACTACAAAACACAAGAGAAAGCAAAACAGAATGCAATAATGTCGTCTTGGCCTGCCAGCGTCTCGAGGACTCCAACACGAATTCGTGAGGCGGAGATGTTGTGGTTGTGAGGTTTTCCAGAAATTACAGGTTGCGGCTTGGGGTGGCATGCAAGAGCTGTATTTTGTCGTGCTGACCCGGTGGCCCCTCTCCACACGACGCGGCAGGCCGACCACAGCGCAGGGGGGACTGGTCTAAAATGTTTCAATCATTATTTTCTGTCGGACCCTCAAAGATTTTTTTTCCTTCTCTCCTGTTTCGTATTTGGTCGTCGGACTGGATATAGAGTAACATCTCGTGGCTCGACTCCGCCCCTTTCTACACGCTATCCCAAGAACGTGACTTAGAAAAGGGGAAAAGCATGGATCAAATGGAAGAGATTGTATATCATTGATGGTTTCACTGTTCCCATTACATGAACTCGGATTATACCGTGCGCTGCACCTTAGATAAAAATTTAGATACAGATATATGAGATTTGTGCGTTAAAGATCTTTTCTCACACTTCATTATATCTTCAGCGTGGAAAATTATTGTGTTAAAAAATTATAACTTTATTACACATTCTCAGGTTAATATGTTTTCCTTTATTACACTTTAAATTGATACTTGTAAATGAAATTGAATGTCAGAAAATAATTGTTTAAATATTTTATGATCTTGGTATATTATTGTTATATAAAAAATAGAATTTAAAGTTTAAAAATCAGTTAAGCCCAACTAAAAAAATATATATATACAAATATCAGACGTAAAAACCTATTGAATGTTAGTCTTGAGGATAAGCAACACACATACGTGCATAGGTAATCAATCATGACAATAGTTAATTTGTTTTAAAACTTGATTCATGGTAACTCTGAGCATAAATTTCCACAATTTGCTCGTATACACATAATAAGTAAACTCGTAATAAGTATACTCATAATATTATTATAGAAAGGCTAACAATTATTTTACAAAAATTATCCTAAATTAATATAATTGTCTGGTCTTATAACACAATAATTGCTATTTAAATCACTGACAAGCATGGACAGCAAGTCTTAAACATTAAATTTCATCAGTATTTATCAGTTAAATTAAGTCATAGAATAAGTAAGACAACAATTTATAAGCCTAAATAAACTACATCACTAACCAGTATTTCGGTTACTAAGAGAACTCTAATCACTCTCCAGCACAAATATCACACAAGGGGTCGGCAACATCTTCGTTTGTACACAAACAATCATAGATTAACCTTATATATCACTGCTAAATAGATAATTTTTCTGATTAAAGTAGTTTACAATCCTTAACTGTAGAATATACTTCCGTGACAGCAAGAGGGCTGCGACGAAGAGCACAAATCCACAGTTATTTGGAATCAATTTAATTCAGTTGTAAATGTTCAAAATTATTGCCGACAAACAATTATTTTTGAAGACCAAACAACACACCAGAAGATGAGGTCGTCTTCCCATCTTCTTGTCTGTGCCTTAGTCTTCATATCTTCAGCCATAATATTGTTACTCATCGTCTGCAATTATTCTTGAATTACACCTCTGCTTATTATCTCTCTCTCTCTCACACACACATTATACAGTAATATGCGAACAAGCCTGAATGGTCCCCAGGACTATATGCGAATGAAAACTCACACCCCAGAAGTGACTCGAACCCATACTCCCAGGAGCAACGCAACTGGTAACTACAGGGCGCCTTAATCCACTTGACCATACAGTAATATATATATATATATATATATATATATATATATATATATATATATATATATATATATATATATATATATATATATATATATATATATATATATATAAAAGAGAATATCTTTACGATGTTGGAGGCCAGACGCTTGAGACTAACCTCACTCAACTTTCAAAAATAAAACCTGCGGGGTGTGTCATAGGCCAGTTGGGGTCGGTCCAAGTGTCATGCTTTAAGAAATATAGACATCTTAATAGCCCCCATCCCCTTGCAAGTTTCATGATGTCTGAAAAAGGTGGAGAGAGTGATAGTGGGTGGGAGAGAGATAAAGCGATATGGGGGGATGTTGGGTCAGAGAGAGAGAGAGAGAGAGAGAGAGAGAGAGAGAGAGAGAGAGAGAGAGAGAGAGAGAGAGAGAGAGAGAGAGAGAGAGAAGGTTGGAGAGGGGGGAAAGAGAGGAAAAGAGTGGGGATAGAGTGGGAGTTGGGATAGAGTGGAGGAGGACTACGAATCCAAAGCGCTGTCCACCCAGCTGTCAGGGGAGAGAGTTAGACAGCTTCTAGGGGCTGCTTCCTGGGAATGTGTGTGTGTGTGTGTGTGTGTGTATTAAAGATGAATATATGTAGTAGATATAATGGAGGAAAAATAGATTGGTTAGAAAGGAGGAGTCTAAGAGCTAAATAGCTCGATTCTGCAGATACACATAATAAATACTAAAGCTTTCCGTAACAACTTCCACGAGTCACACGATAACAAATGTTACTCGGGAAGAATCTTCACTCAATGGACCATTCGATAACAGGCCCTGTCCCTCGATACTCTCCTCTCCGCAATTGGCTCCTTCACACGGGGTTGCTTTCAATTAGGCAAGTGCGATTAGGATGGAGGGAGAGAGAGAGAGGGGGAAGCAAAAAGGGAGAGACGTTAGGGAGAAGGAGGGTGTAAGGGAGAGTGTAATTGGCATGGTGATTATTCAGGGAGTGATGGTTGTTCATTAGGTTGGTCTACAGGGAGAGAAACAGAGGACACTACAACACAGACTGATCAGCAGCAGCCTCGAGCTGCTCGTGTCATTCCCATTCAAGATGGCACTGACCTTCCAGGTGTTGGCACTGACCAACACCTGGAGGGCCAGTGCCAACACTTGGAGGGTCAGTGCCAACACCTGGAGGGCCAGTGCCAACACCTGGAGGGTCAGTGCCAACACCTGGAGGGTCAGTGCCAACACCTGGAGGGTCAGTGCCAACACCTGGAGGGCCAGTGCCAACACCTGGAGGGTCAGTGCCAACACCTGGAGGGTCAGTGCCAACACCTGGAGGGCCAGTGCCAACACTTGGAGGGTCAGTGCCAACACCTGGAGGGCCAGTGCCAACACCTGGAGGGTCAGTGCCAACACCTGGAGGGCCAGTGCCAACACCTGGAGGGCCAGTGCCAACACCTGGAGGGCCAGTGCCAACACCTGGAGGGCCAGTGCCAACACCTGGAGGGTCAGTGCCAACACCTGGAGGGCCAGTGCCAACACCTGGAGGGCCAGTGCCAACACCTGGAGGGCCAGTGCCAACACCTGGAGGGTCAGTGCCAACACCTGGAGGGTCAGTGCCAACACCTGGAGGGTCAGTGCCAACACCTGGAGGGTCAGTGCCAACACCTGGAGGGCCAGTGCCAACACCTGGAGGGCCAGTGCCAACACCTGGAGGGCCAGTGCCAACACCTGGAGGGCCAGTGCCAACACCTGGAGGGCCAGTGCCAACACCTGGAGGGTCAGTGCCAACACCTGGAGGGTCAGTGCCAACACCTGGAGGGTCAGTGCCAACACCTGGAGGGTCAGTGCCAACACCTGGAGGGTCAGTGCCAACACCTGGAGGGTCAGTGCCAACACCTGGAGGGTCAGTGCCAACACCGCCCAATCATGTAAAGTTAAAAATGTTCAACTTAACAATATTTACCTTTTCATAAAAAAATATTTGACTATATTTTGAAAGAAAATAATCTCTAGTGGAGCATCAAATGAAATATAGTACAAAGATTCTCAGAAGCTAACAAGACATCAGTAGATAATCCTGGTATTGTAGCATTTAGATTTTGAATGCGGATATGTGCAAAAATTAAATTTCCAAAATTCAATGCATCGGTCCCATTTACCACTAACTTTCATGTCGTGCCACCAATTGCTCAATAAAAGCCATAACCCTATCCATTCTTCATCCAGTATAGCAGCACAAGCTACCATATTAGTAGGCTCAAGGTACGACTCTAGCAGGCCCAAGGTACGACTCTAGCAGGCCCAAGGTACGACCTTAGCAGGCCCAAGGTACGAATCTAGCAGGCTCAAGATACAATCCTAGCAGGCCCAAGGTACAATATTTTCTCCAAAATCGTGTAAATTGGGCTTTAACCGCCATTGGAAGCCTCTTCAAGAATCTGAAGAACGTACCCTAAACCAGCTTCATCCCCTCAAGGTTCAATAGAGGTCCATCAATGCCATGTATATATGGTGGTTAACATTCGAAATGTGTGGCCAAGACTGTGGAAGAAAAAAAAATGCCATAGCTGGGCGCCCGATTATGTTTGACGCCGGCGCATTGCTTACAAGTACCTCCGCGTTACTGCTAATGAGAAACTTTACCTGGCCAATGAGCCCCGGTTCTCTAGCTGTTATAATTGCGTTTTAACAATTGGGTTCAGGTGGTGTTGCCCTCTGCGAGAGCGCCGACCATGGACGCTCTCGTGACCAAGTTTACACAAGCAATTTACTGAATTACTTGGTGGTTAGTGCAGGTGATTACCGAAGGTTAGCTGTTAGGGGGGGAAAGGGGGTAGTCGTTCACGAGTATTTCCTTGTAGTCACGTATCATGGAGTGTTGGTGATTGTGGCAATAGTTTGAAGCGTCCTTATGGATAATCGAGGCTGGGCTTGAATTGTCTATTATGGTTGACTGGATATGGTGGATAATGCTGGACTGAATATGACGGATGTTGCTGAACTGAATTTGAAAGGTTGTTATTGAATATACCTCATTTATCAGTGAACTACTCCAATAATTATATAAGGCACTTCACAGTAAAAGATGATTCAAAATACGCACGCACTAGTCTGTGGACTCATACTACCTCAGGGTACTACTGTAACAGCCAGAAGGTGTACACTGCTGGAGTACAATTGGCCAGTACTTGCTGAGGCGAGAAGCAATATCCCAGGACTCACGAGTTTCCTGCGTTTGTGGTGTTGAGGATTTCCGCCGCCACATGAATTTGTGAAGAGTCTCTACGTGGAGGTGGTGAGAGCCTCCACCACACTACGTGGAGGTGGTGAAAGCCTCCACCACACTACGTGGAGGTAGTGAAGGTCTCCACCACACTACGTGGAGGTAGTGAAGGTCTCCACCACACTACGTGGAGGTAGTGAAGGTCTCCACCACACTACGTGGAGGTGGTGAAGGTCTCCACCACACTACGTGGAGATAGTGAAGGTCTCCACCACACTACGTGGTGATAGTGAAGGTCTCCACCACACTACGTGGAGATAGTGAAGGTCTCCACCACACTACGTGGAGATAGTGAAGGTCTCCACCACACTACGTGGAGATAGTGAAGGTCTCCACCACACTACGTGGAGATAGTGAAGGTCTCCACCACACTACGTGGAGATAGTGAAGGTCTCCACCACACTACGTGGAGATAGTGAAGGTCTCCACCACACTACGTGGAGATAGTGAAGGTCTCCACCACACTACGTGGTGATAGTGAAGGTCTCCACCACACTACGTGGAGATAGTGAAGGTCTCCACCACACTACGTGGAGATAGTGAAGGTCTCCACCACACTACGTGGAGGTGGTGAGAGTCTCCACCACAACACAGACACAAATACCAGAGGCAAAACCTCACACCAATTCCTCACAATCTTCCCCAAATCTTTATTAAGTTTATTTAGTTCATTAATAATGCACCCCATACCCATTTCATTTAGTATGGGGAGCATTATAAATGGGTATGGTGTTCACTACCGAGAGAATATGTGAACACCATACCCATCCTGGGGGGGGGGGGAGGTAGTGGCACATACATAATGGGCTCAGGAACTGAACACCAAAATTTATTTAGCTAAACATGTAGTGTCTATTGAATTATTTTATCAACAATGTGTTCGAGAACGACCTCAAGTACAGTCTCCAAGTTAAGCAACTGACATATGCGGTGAACTACTAACCAATTTGATTTGTTTATCATGCACACTCCACCCGTCTAGTGGGCGGCGGTGGGAAGGTTACAGTCACCCGCACTCACTATCAACAGTCACCAAACTGGGGACATTTGGCTAAAACTGTTGCTTGTCAACAAAACAAAATAGTCAACCTACATTTCCTTGTGACTTAATATTAAGACAAACCGAACTGTTTTATTCAAAAATGCACTGATTCATAATAAAAATTATAATAAACAATTATGATTGCTAGTATTTTAATAATAGCAAACATAAACAAGTTACAGAAGCAACATTAAGAGCAGCAGCACAAATGTCACTAGTAATCAGTGACTGTTCCCGACCATCAATAATGCAACACACTTCAGGTGTGAGGAGGGGGTTGAGGTAGGAGTAGATAGATAGTTGTGGGGTGTTGCACATGCTGATTCTTCACCCACTCGCGCCCCCTCTCTGGGCTCCTCTCTGGGTAGTCGAGGAGTTAATTGGAAACCTGTTTTGGGTAGATTATGTGCCCCGCTCCTGTCCCTTCTTCCCTACCCCTAGGGGGTGAGTGCTGCAAAGAGGGAGAATGGAAGTTAGGGGGCTGTGGAGTTTCGCTATTAGGGAGGCTAAAACGTTTCGTGATGGGGGCTGAGACATTTCGCAAGGGAAAAGAGGAAGTGAGGTGCATAGGTGAGGGAAGGGGGCTGGGATGGGGACCGGGGCCAGTGCAGGAGTGACATCCAGAGCCAACTACAGTAATGATTCTTTTAATCTAATTTGTATTACTATTATTGATCTTGTTGCCATTTTTTATATTAAGCGTTAGAATTTCCTCATTATTATTACACTGTAAAACATAATTTTAAGTGTGAAAACATGTATAATAAATTAATTATAATATTTTTACTCATATTATCTATAACCTTCAACTATTTTATTTGTGAATTAGCTAGGCTGTAAACTAAAAAAATACAAAGTAGTTACACATTTTGAGGAACTGCGTCTTAGTCAGGCGTAGGGTTTTGTGTTCCTTTATGGGTGAGTTTAATGAGGATATAGTTACTTTGGGGATGAGCTTATCGAACATTTATTTACTTTAAGGATGAGTTTAGTGAGAATCGACTTGTTTTCAGGGTGAGTTTAGAGAGTGATATTTGTCTCTAACTTAAACCTTGCCATTCCCCACTTACAAAAGAATCGCATATGAAACACTTTATAAAGTTTAGACAACACAATGCGCGTAAAAATGTGATGTTATATTCAATTCAGAGGGATTACCTACCATGATACCGCTGAGGTCAGGGGGGAAATACCAAAGGGTTTCTCATGATCTGTAAAGTCTGGTGTCAGCAGGAGAGATGTCGTAGTTGCTGGGACTGCTGACGGAGGCCCCTCTTCTGGGGGCAGTTTGGAGGAGTCAGGAGGATGGAGAGCCACTTCAGCTTCTCCGTGACCTCTAGAGACCTGGGGCTTCAACCTGCGTCAGGAGGTATACTTGTTCTCAAGTTAAGGATGAGAGTTCTTCAAGTAATCACAAGAGTCGACACTGTGGAATAGTTTACACTGATTCTGACTTGAGTTTGTAAATATTTCTGAAAACATTTCTTTGAGAAATACTATATATTCACACAGAATGGTTTCTTAGTATGCTAATGACGCGATGTTATTGTATCAAATGATTTTATTCGATATTCGGACTTTCTTTCCATTCGAAAGATTAGCTTTGAGCTCTTTTGAACTCGAAGTTTCCTTTAATATTTTCACCAGAATCGACTTAGTAGAGACAGTTTTGTACATATCCCCACTAAGCATCTGTTTGGTTCTCTGTTCAACCAATCGGCGGTGCAGTGATGTAATATTTCATCTCCATGTAGTCAAGCATTTACCACTTATACATAGCATCAAACGTTAAACATGTATATTATATGAATAACCAGTATAGGATAAAATCCTACACTTGCTTATTTGTGAAATTTATGTAGGAAATTTACACCAAGTCTTTCGCACTCTCCTGAGTGCTTTGTCAAGGTCTGAGTGTGTGGTTAAGACGAGACTTACATCTAAACGTCTAATCAACAAAAGTCTCGTCCTAACCACACACTCAGACCTTGACAAAGCACTCAGGAGAGTGCGAAAGACTTTCTGTAAATTTCCTACATAAATTTCACAAATACACAAGTGTGGGTTTTTAATCCTATGTTAATATGTCTGTGTGAAGACATTACCATTACTTAATAACCAATATCCAAATTAAGAACTTGGCAAAATTAACTAAAAGACTTTTCTTTTTTATTTCCATCATCAAACCAATATATCTTAAATGTCACATTATTTTTATATATATAATTTGAACTCAGTTGATGGAGATACATTAGAGAATCATAATAAGAGCAACTTCTATATAAAAAGCAGTTCTCATAGCTATGAGCTCATCACTGGTGTACAATAACACAGGGTTACAAATATACATTTACCACTTGCTTGACGGTACACAGATTGCGGGAGTCAAGAGTCGTGTCAGGAAATTGAGTTGCCACTAAGACGTCCCTGTTGTCATGGCCGCTGATACAACTCTCTGGGGTCTTTGACAGGTATTCATAGCCTTCTTGTTGAGGTTCTTCTCTCTTTTGTTATAATGTTCACGATGGAGGTGAATATTGGAAGATTTCGTCTTCCAAGCGAAGTCGTCCCTTCACTTTCTAGTGCGTGGTTTGGTCAACATTAGAATTTTTTTATATATGTGCTGATCATGTTTTTTTTTCAAACGTCTATTAAAATTTATAAATACAGAATTAGATGTAATGAAATTTATTTTATTTTAAAAGTACGATTGATAAATTTATGATTGATGGTTAGTCAGTGTTTGAAGTGTATGTGTGCCTTCAACACATCCTCCTATTTAGAGTTTAGTTTTTATAACAATGTGCATCATAGTACAAATATTGGCGTACTATGCAATTATTATAATTTTGTACTATTGAGGTTAGATTAGTTTAGTTTGTCTATGAAACATAAATAGAAAAACGTTTTCAGTCTGTCCAGTTTCAGTATGTCCTATTTCCACTTTCTAATTGCGTTGAACGTCGGTATATGTACTATTGTCCTGATTGTCACTATAAGTACTACCAAAACAGGAGGATGGGCTGCCCTTGGTATTGTCTTCCTTTCAAGAATGTAACAGTTACCGATCTCTTACTGTAGAAATTGTTTCGACTGAAAGTCAAAACGCAATAAACAACCATTTATAATAACAAAAATACTAATCTCTATTTATCAATCGTTTTCATGTGAAAACCTTCGTTGTTTGTTACTTTCCTTCACGTTATATTTTGAAAAATTGTTTCTTAAAATTTGGTGGGAATTGTATGAAATTCTAATTATATGTTCATCTTGTGATTCACAAGCAAATATATCTATCAAAGCTATGAAGGTGGTGTTCCGTAGGACAGTGTACTTGTGGCTGCGATAATTAAAAAAAAATACTCATAATTTAAGAAATTTTGTGAAAAAAGAAGAAAATTATTCAAAAGATCAAACCGGATATATAAGAATTATTATAAAGCATAATATAGGACTATTAAAGAGATTAACCCGGGTATTATAAAACGATTTTATCCTATTTAATCATGGAGATTACACAGGATATCATAGAGATATTATAGAGATCAAACAGGGTGCCATAGTATCTATTTTATCAAGGAAATAAAACGAGATATCGTAAGGAGTGTACCAAACATCGAGAGGATACATTTTGACAATACTCCGCAATGATGTGATACAAAACTCTAAAAATAATTTACTTGAAAACGTACTTGTAATTTATTTTAACGCAGACGTTCATTGTGTATCCATCATCCCTCAACGCAAAGTTAATGTCTCAAAAGTTCAATAAGTTTTAGTTAACGTGCAATACAGAATTCGATAAATAAAGGGTATGTGGAGTATATCTTTAATAATTAATTGGAAGCTTAATTGGGCGTATTTAGTTTATCTAAATATTATGAATTGGAATATGCAGAATTAAATTCGTTTGTATGTCTTTAATTTCAAGACATACAAACTTGAATTTCAGCCAAAAGGAGACGATCATGTCTTCTCTGGCCATTGGCATGGCTGAGTATAGGTCAACTCATTGGGAGTGAGAGTGGGTATATGGGTGGGTTGAGAGGGGTATGTGGGGAAGGTAGAAGGGGATATATGGGTGGGGTGAGAGGGGGTATATGGGTGGGTTGAGAGGGGTATGTGGGGAAGGTAGGAGGGGATATATGGGTGGGGTGAGAGGGGGTATATGGGTGGGTTGAGAGGGGTATGTGGGGAAGGTAGAAGGGTGGGGTGAGAGGGGATATATGAGTGGGGCGAGAGGGCGGTAGAGTAACCCAGCATCCGGCAGCTATTCATCTCCCTGCCGTGGCTGGCCTGAAGTGGCCATTTATTCAAAGGTTAGAGGTAAGACCCACTCTTACGCGCCTCTTGTGAGCACATGTAAATTTCTTAATAAGAACCTGTTTTGTAATGTAAAAATTTGCTGCTTTTCCCGTGGAAATACGGCCGCTGTCACGGGCGTAATGGATAGCCCTGTTTATCGCTCCCACCATCTGCCCCGGGGCATTCCGTCTGCTAGACTCGACCCGCCTCAATCCAAGCCAAACCGAGTTGCCCCACTGGATAGCTGCCCTATCCTCAACCTACCCCTTTCAGGAATATAGGCCATGCCCTGCCCTTCTCCCGGGATGGGAAACTCATATTACCTTGAATTCTCAACAAAGGATTCCTTCCCTTGAAACCCTTTCCCTGATTATTTGGTCCTCGTCCCTATCGCGTCTTCTTGGAATAGTTAATCCCTGTTCTTGCCGCTTATTCCCGGAATAGACGATATTTGGTCTTATTCTCATCACGATACTTATTTTTAACTTGGACAAATGACAAGGTGACCCCATCTTTACTCGGTGCCAGAACGTGGAAGTCTCAGGTAAATATGTTCAGATTTAAGAGGCAATTAGTGAATAAAAAATTAAATTACTCGCATGAAATAAAAATACATACCAATGTCAATACTGCTACACTCACATGCCTAGCTTTCGCGAGGTCATACACAAACATACAAAACAAACACACAGTGCAAGCACATACAAATACACAAGCACACTCAAACACAGTCGTATAACCACAATGTTAAAGTTTACCGGTTGGTACAGGTAGATAAAACACACTGGTACCGCACTTGTACATATAAAATGAACACCCTAGAGATACCACAGGTGCAAGGAACATCTAGTCCTACCACAAGGGCAATATACATCTACCACAGGTACTCATTTGTCTCCCAATAATTGGGTCATGCAAATGCAAAAATTGTCAATAGTGTATAACCCTTGGGAGAAAGTCAAGCTGTATCAAGTAGATGTAAAAAAGAGTATCACAGATCTTTACCATGAGGTCACCTTGAGATGGTTTCGGGGCTTAGCGTCCCCGCGGTCCGGTCCTCGACCAGGTCTCCTCGTTGCTGGACTGGTCAACCAGGCTGGTGGACGCGGCTGCGCGCAGCCAGATAGTTATAAGTGTCTGGGAAACAAAAGATGACTGTGGAATGAACGCAAAAAAATAAAGAGATAAGGAATTGTAAAGTTCTTGAATTGACAGGATGTGTGACTTAATGACTGAAGAGGGAGCGCACATTTTTCAAGTTCTTGAAAACAGGAGCTATTGCAGGTGAGATACAAGAAGGTTAAGCAACTTTTCAGCGGAAGACTGATGATTCAAGCTGGCACATGAGGTCAAAAGAAGTGACGTGGGGTAAATGGAAGTTTTCTGTCTTAAAAATTATTTTTAGCAGCCAAACCTTAGGAGTTTAAATTCCGGGAAGCAATTTGAATTGAAATATTTGAGTTGATCGTGAGGAAAACACGAAGCAAGAGAAGCAGTAATGCTTATGTAAGAAAAAATAATGCTTCTGTAAGACCCAGTAATGCTTTTGAGAAACAAAACAATGTTAATGTGAAATTAATTTATTTTAAAGTTTGCGAATGACTAAACCATTATTTTTTTAAATTCCATCTAACTGAACGGTGTTAGAATAGATGGAAGAACGACTTACTGAAGGGTTTTATATGGGGGCTTAGTAATTTATCAGTGACTATTGTTAAAAATTTTCAGAGATTTTATATAAAGATGTCTGTTAAAAACTCCTTTTTACGTGAACAGAAAAATTTGGACTATATTATTTTCTAAATAGTCAAAATTAATAAAAAAATTTTGATTAAAAAAAAGACTGGAGACCAAAACAGTCACTTCAACTACCCAAACATCTTCAACAAACTCAAATGAATAATCGAATATTTTTTTTTTAAATATCAAGTAATTTAACTTTGCTGTATCAAAATAAATATTATATAACTGTAGGCATGATCAGCATTGTTACAGATATATATATATATTATATATTATATATATAATATATATATTATATATATATTATAT